ATGATATTTATGAAAATGTGTTGATTTGTAGGAGAGGTATTTCTCTGAGCATAGTCATGTACTATGACTGCTGAATATTTATGGGGTTTTTTTATAAGTTTTTATATTATGACTATTAATGCTTAGTTTGTCCAACACAACAGGAAGGGTTAGTTGTGTGATCAGTTCATGTGAAATCATTAACATCTGCCAATTAGGAAATTAAAGGAAGTTCAGAATCAGTAGGGGAAATGAAAAACTGAGTCACTTTCTGACTTGCAGCATTTGCTGCTTAATACTGGCATGCAGTGAAAAAAGGTAACTGGTAGAGCAAAATACTTACCAATACCTGCACGACCACAACTACGGGTTCAACTGTTCTGGCTGCTGCAATCCAAAACCAAAGTAAAGAAGGAGGGTGTTTTCAAGAGGAGGTATGACACTCTTTGTTGTCTATTGTTTTTTCTTGTGCCATAGAATATTTTGTGCAGAATACAAATGTTTTCCAAGGATTAAGTTGGATACAGTTATACTAGCACACATACAAAATCTTGATTACCTTCCTACTTAGCCTAGGCAAATTTTTGTTGATGCTTAAGCCTATTTTATTAAAAATATAAATGTGTGTATATATAAAAATTCTAAAGGTTTTGGTAAGATTCAAGGAACAGTATGAAATGTCTATGATGTCTGTTGCCCTATTTGACATTTGTTATCTAACACTTATTTTGCAATAATTGAAAGAAATGCTATTTTCTCCACCCTTTCTATAAATTTAACTAGAAATATGTGGATTTCTATTTCTTGCACAAAAGTAAGTAACAGAATCTTGGGATGGTTGAGGCTAGAAGGCACTTCTGGAGATTGCCTTGTCCCACCTGTTGTTCAGAGCAGTGTCAGCTACAGCAAGTTGCTCAGGGCTTTGTCCAGTCAGGTTTGAGTATCTCCAACTTTGGAGACCCCACAACCTCCCTGGAAAACCTGTTCCAGTGGCTGAATACTCTCACAGTAAAAAGTGTTTTCTTGCATTTGAATTAAATTTCCATTATTTCAGGATTTTTCCCATTGCCTCTTGTCCAGTCACTGGGCATCACTGAGCAGAGTCTGGCTCAAACTTTCTTAGTCTCCACAGCTGCATATTCATACACATAGATATGATGTCCCTAAGCCTTCATCTTTCCAGGCTGAACAGTCCCAACTTTCTCAGTCTCTTCTCAGAGCCCTTATTGTCTTTGGAGTTCTTCTCTGGACTCTCTTCAATAGCTTTATATCTTTCTTGCACAGGGGATCCCAGCACTGCACACAGCACTCCAGGTCTCGTTTAACCAGTGCAGAGCACAGGGGAAGGATCACCTCCCTTCACCTGCTGGCAACACTCCTCCTAATGGAGCCCAGGGTACTTTTGGCCTTCTTTTTGGCAAAGGCACATTGCAGGCTCACTGTCACTGTCCACCGGATTCCTCAGGGTCTTCTTTGCAAAGCTGCTTTCCGGCCTGTGCTGGTGCCAGAGGTAGTTCCACCCCAGGTGCAGGACTTGGCACTTTTTTTTGGTGAATTTCATGAGTTTCTTATCAGCCCATTTTTCCAGCCCATCCAGGTCCCTCTGGAGTGAAATAGTGGTATATCAACCGCTTCTCCCAGTTTTTGATCATCATCTACAGTAATCAAGACACTGATATAAAGACTGAAAGTTGCATTTAGGGAAAGTTGCATTAAGGCAGCAATTTGAGAGTCATATTTCATTGCCTGGTATGCACTGTGAGGTTTTTATTCCTATTTCTATGCCTTTTGGTATGCCTAGCAATTGTATAGTACTCTTCATATGTCTCCAGTGTGTAAGCATCTGTTTGTCTACATCGCATAAGCATCAGCTTATCCTCACATCACCCTATGAGTAAAAATAAAATTTTAATTTCTGGAAGTGTGTTATGGTCAGGAGCAACTTTTCCAAAGCCACTCAAGAAAATAAAGTCACTGGCAAAGCTATGAATTAGAACCAAGGAACCTTGGTGTCAGGTGACATTTTCTGGTAGCATCCTGCACTCACAGGATAAGAGCAAAGAAAATAAACCGTACAAAGAGGTTAAGAATTGAAAGTGCTTGAGTTAGTATTTAATGGATGCTTTCTGTAAAAATTAATATAGGCATACCACAGCTTTTAAATATGAGTGTATTTTCCTTTTGACACATTGATACTGAGATCATTCTAGAGCACATTGAGTTTGACTATGACTTGCTACAAAAGACCAAACAGACTCATGCTTGCTAGCATTTAACTTACAAGGCATATGATCACCACTGCTGAGTCAGACACATCATACATCTGGTAATATTAGGTAATAAGTTAAGCAATGTTTTCCTTGATAAGATTTTGCTAGCAAAGAAATTAAACATACAGGCTATGCACATTTTTTATTCAGACTAAAAGAAAGTTCCAAGGCCAAGCATCACTGGCTGACTCCTATTCATGTATCTTAGGTGGATAGATTATGTTTATAGCAAATCCATCTTGGAGAGACCTAGGGAATGAGCTAAGAGTTGAGGAGTGTAGAAACCAGATGCTTGAGTCCTGTCTGGGACTCTCCCCTGTGTAGCAGGCTAAGAGGTTGAGACACTTGTGAGACTGGCCAGGAGAGAAAAAAGAAAGAAGCAAAGCAGAAACAAGCATAGAGTTAAAGATATGGGTTTTCATCCTAAGAGATTCTGTTTTATCTCCTATATTAATGAAATATGAGGCAATATCACTTAGACAAGAATATTTATATTTCTTCTGGTCTGATCCTCCAAATAACACTCCCAACTGGTTTGACATAAGTATGTGTTCCTTTTGACACCTTCAATACTGGGGTCTGTTCAATGCAGAGGGAGTTTTACCACACCTGTCTGCAAAAGACAAGTCTGGGAGAGGGTGAAAGTCATAGACGCACAAAGCTTCTACACATGTGATGCTGGAGCTGTTTGCTTGGCCACCAGGCAGAAGGTACGGACTCGTAAATGGCTTAGGGTGCACATCTGCTTCTATATCTCTCATTTTGCCTGCAAGCTAGGGAAAAGCCAGAGGACCTGACTTTGTGTTAGTACCTTCAGCTGGGCCAATAGAGAGAATGTAGGCACAACCCAACACTAATCCTTTCTTATGTAATTTGTTTTTGGCAACTGTGAAGCACAAATTCTTTGGGAAGCAAAACTCCTTAGTGCTGTGGTCAATGGAAATGGCCATGTCTTGTGAGGAAAGTGAACACAAGTCCTGCTATTCCCTCTGCAGGCCCGACGTGTCCAGAGCCTGGAGGCAATGGCACCAGCAAGCACTCCTCTAAGCAGTCAGGGCTGCAGATGACTCCTTCAGCATTGCTCCAGACAAACATTTCCATGAGAAAACATGAAGAGTGCTTGCAGTTTGGGGTCGCTGTCATGTGTAGGAAACCTGAGGGAGATTTTGAAAGCAGAGGAGTCATGAGAGCAGACAGAGGGAGATGACAAGAATGAAACAAAGACTATAAGCGAAAGGTGAGCAGAAAGTTGGCAGTGAATAGAAAAATTGGTGCCTAAAAAGGAATATAGCATGAAGAAAGGAAGGAGAAAAGGCTAAGAGTGACTGAACACGTGGCAAGAAATGGAGGAAAATACGGTTGTATAAAAAGCGGCAGACTAGAAGGACAAAAGATCTCAACGTTCCTGTGTGCATTACTGGGGAGATCACTGAGAGCATGGGAAAGTGGAAATAACTGTTGAGACCAGTATCTCACATAGCATTTCACAGCCAGTCCTCCATACTGTTTGTACTTAAAATTCTTCGGTATCATTTCCCAGCAGCTGTGGCCACATCCTTATTGTAGCATGATGACTTACAAAGAGAAGATTGATGCTGTAGAGATAAGCAGAGAAGAATCAAGCTACAGTGAAGAGTCTGTCTATATTGCAACCACAATATGGTGTCGTGTTCTATGCTGGCTTGGTTCCTGAAGACCATGACGGACTGGTCACATCAAGGCAATTTCCATGAAATGTTAGGTGCCTCCTGGAAATATTCAAGACTCCAGCTTGTCTGGAGTGTCTGGATGGGTTTCTACTTTCACCACAAATGGAGTCAGTCTGGAGTCACCACTCTGAAATAACCATAAAAATGAGTATAGGACAGACAAGTAAAAAAAATAGTTCCATGTTTCTCTTTTTTCCTGAGTTTGTAAGAATTTACCTCACAATCTTAGAATTAACCTTAGAAATATCTGCAATCAGGAAAACTGCTACTGGAAAGTTACACTAGTTAATCTAGTTTGAAAAATGGAGAGACACTTGTGACATGAAAGAAGTAATTGTGGTGGTTTGACCTTGGCTGTCCACCGGGTGCCCACCAAGCTGCTCTCTCACTCCCCCTCTTCTTTATTCTCTGCTTCCCATCAGCAGACAATATCCAGCCACTTGCTGGGACAGAGGCCTTCAGTATTCACAGCAGTTGCTTCAGAAGACAAACACTGTAATAATGAATTCCTTCTTCCACCCCAATCCTCCTTTCCCCTAGCTTTTATTGCTGAGCATCACATCATATGGTATGGGATATCCCTTTGGTCAGCTTGGGTTCGCTGTCCCAGTTGTGTCCCTTCCTAGACTCTTGCCCACCTCCAGACTATTGGTCTTTGTAGAGTGGGTGTGGTGGGGTGGGAGACACAGTCTTGATGCTGTGCGAGCACTGCTCAGCCAAAACATTGATGTGCTATCAACAGTATTCTAGCAACAAATACTAAGCACAGCACTATATGAGCTGCTCTGGGGAAAGTTAACTCCATCCCAGCTGGACCCAATGCAATCTCCACCACTTATTCCATCCCATGTGTGTCATGTCTAAGTCCCACATACTTTGATATACTTATATGTCTTCTGACCATGCCATTGTGCCTGTTTCTCCTTCCCAAAACCCCCACTTACCAATACTTACAACTTACACTAAATACTTAAAGCATCTTTATATCTTTTCTTCCCTTTTCTTTTTGAAGGCTTCATTGTCTCTTTCCAGGGAGGAAAAAATGTTTGATACTCTTGGACTCATTTGCATGATTTGGTGGTGTATGATGCTATTTCATCCCTTGCATGCTGATATCCAGTGTATGGAGTGTAAGTATGTTTTTACAGATATAATCTGAGAAACAGAGTTTAATTATTCATTTATCAGAGATATTTGCAATTAATCTGGCAGTGGTCATCTTAAGTCTGACAGATACTATCCTCTGCATTCAGTAAGAACAATAGCATATTTTTACTCAACTTACTCTGTAACTCTTTCAGCGGAGGCACAAAAATCACCTATTACAAATGTGAAAATGAATTGGAGAAAAATGGAACTGTCCTGGGAGAGTGGCAAGAATTTCTCTAAGTACAAATGTACCATCATGGACAAGGACATGGAAAGTATACGGAAAGAGGTAAAATTACTTTTTGCTGAGATAAATAATCACACCTTTTCCTTTACCTTTTATCAATTTCAATTCCTTTGAAAAAAATAACTAGTTGCAGTAAATCTATCAGTGATTGCTTACAGTCTGCATCTTGATCTGTCAGGGGCTGTGGAAAGTTTTCACCAATGGCAGGGTGCATTTGCTGCCAGAGGAGCATCCTGTGCCAACCACAGAAAAGAAGTTCTGGCACCAAAGTGGAAAGGAGGCAATAGCCTGAACTGTACCTATGTTGAATCATAAATAGGGATGTAGCTGCTCAAAAAAAAGGGGCTGTGAGACTGCGACTCCTAGAGCATTTAGAGAGACAGAGCAAGAGACCCTTCAAATGAAAAATGAATTCCCCAAACACTGACATGGATTTTCATTATCTCAAGTTCTTCACTTGTTTCCCAGTGAATGGGATCATGCCTGTAGAACAGATTATGTTGTAAACCCACATTATCCAAAGAGAAAAAAGAGGGGTGTGAAAGAGGAAGGAAGAGAGAGAGAGAGAGAGAGAGAGAGAGATTTTATTTAGCCAAGCAAAGCAGATGTATTAGTTAGAAATACATATTACAAAAACATATCACATCTTTATTGAAGATCATAAGTATAATGACATAGGCAACTTTCTTAACACCTGGAGAGGTCAGAGGAGGACTTCTGTTTTGCTTAATCCTTTGATTAAATTCCATTGTGGCTCCCTCATTTATTAACCATCTTCTGTTACATCACTGGGGTGCTATTAGCCTTCTCTAACTGTTGCCCACTGTTGCCCATGTTGCCCCCATCCAAATCCTGAGCTGCAAAGCTTTTTGTAGTTATGCTTTTGATCACTCAGCTCCATTCTATATTACCCTCAAGTGGTAAAGGAGAGAGTTAGCTCTTGAGCGTAAGACACGTACATATGCATGCAAGATTTTTGGCCATATGAACTGAGTTTCTGAGTTGCAATTCCATAGCCAGCATCATTTAACACTAGCAGAGCAAAAAAAAAGATAAATAAAACATCATCATGCTTTTTTTCAGGTGAACAGTCCACTATGCAGGTTTCCAATAGAACAATACATACCTCTGCACAAAGGGGTAGACTTTATCATTGAAGTGCCGAACACAAACATCTCAAAAAAGTGCAACTTTATCCCTGGAGGTAATGTCTCTGGTCTGGGTAAGGTTTCCTCAGCTTGCAGTCTTTTAAAGGTAAACATTGCATTAGAAAATGATTCCTTACACAGCAGATAACTGCTTTATTTTCTGTTAAATTTTTTTTTTTGCAGATCTGCCAGAATTATTTACTCTGTAATGAATGCTTCCACAATTCTGCAAGTATCTGTACTGATACTACAAATCTATCAGTAATTGCATTATCCTCTTTTGTATTATGACTCTAAAATGCCATTAAACTACCGTGGTTTAAGGGTGGATTCAAATAACTGTTCTGGCTGTTACAAATTAACATTAAATGTTAGCACCCATTTCTTTATTAAATGCTTTTCTGCTCACCTGTTGGTGAGTTTGTCAAGAGCGAGAACACAGAGTCAGCTAAAGGCAGAATAGGGGATCAGCGAAACCCATAAAATGGAAGGAGAGGAAAGGAAATCCCAGTGATAAGCAGCTAGGGGCAAACTGAATGGAGCAACTTCATAATCTGGCCCTGTTGTGCACATGCGCGCGCGCACACACACACGCACGCACGCACACACACGCACGCACGCACACACACACACGCATGCACACATGCACCCATTGAGCTGAGGCAACAGTTTATAAAGAGATTCTGAGCCTGCCCCGTGCAGGAGTTAACCAAAGCAAGATTTAGGCAGTTCCTAGGTTCATAATTCCAAACCTGAATAAAAACTTATTGTTTACCTCTTCCTCCGCAACTCAGGGTTCACTAAAATTGCCCCGTCACCAGAGCTCCTGCAGCTGTGCACAACTGGGGTGTTTTAGACTTGACAGAGGTGATGAGATTAGCAGCTGGCTCATATCTGAGCAAAGTGAGCCCTACTCATCTCTTCCTGGGGACACACAGAGGACACACTCTCATGGTGACCCTCAAACCACAAGCCAGGACACACTGCCTCTTAAAACCACTCTCTTGTGGTGTTCCTGCCCAGCTGGCCTTAGCCTCCAAGCATGCAAGTTCCCCAGGATAGTCCATCCTACTTCCACAACGGTGCCTTCAGTACTGGGCACTGAAGGGGGCTGGTGTCAGTAGTGGAGGAAGCCTTCACTCTTCTGTTGAAGTTGGGACACGCCACAGGAAGAAGCATAAAATTGATTGAAGGAGAAGAGAGAATGAGACTGATCATGCTTGCACAGCCTGGCCACGAGGGAGCTTCCTAAGAAACGATGTTCTCACTTCCATGTGCTTTGGAAAAGGAAGAGATCAAGTCACTGTCACCCACATCAGGGTGGAAAGATCTAGCTAGGAGGCTATTTGATCAGAGAGCAGAAAAAAGTCCAACCTTACTTGTAAAAGTCCCAGCTTTTTAAACGCTGCGTGTAAACACTTCAGGAGTGGATTCCTGGGCGTTGATTGCAAAAGGAAAAGTACTCCTCTCTGTAGCACCAAGGATGGTGTTAAAAGGCAATGTACCTTCCTTTACCTGTGTGAATGATACACTCACTCCCAGGTTTCACAGTTCAGAGGCAGTCAAAATAGGGTGCAAGTCCAGCTTTCTCTCAGTTATCATTACTAACTGAAGTGATAACCAGCTGGAGTCACAGGTGTCTAACATAACTAAGCATGAACCAAGATCCTCCAGTTTGGAGCAGTTACACAATTTTTCCTTATCATGGTTATTCCTCTGTTTGCAGGCATGAATGGGTCAGCCGTTGAAAACTTCTCCTGTGTGATATATAACATTTCTCTCATGAACTGCACTTGGCAGGCAGGCAGGGATGCTCCAGGAGATACACAGTATTTTCTCTACTGGCAGAACTCTAGGTGAGTAGGTTTGCTTGAGCCTAGGGAAGTCTGGATTCTCACATTTCCCGTGTTTACCTAAAATACCTTGCTATATACAGAAAGAACAAGGAGATGGAATGTGAGCTTTACATGAAAGATGAAAATGGCAGAAACACGGGATGTAGATTCCAAAATGTGAAGATAGATACTGAACATGCTTACTTCCTCGTGAATGGGTCTAGCAAAGAATCCCTGATCAGGTTCTATGATGAGTACATTCAACTGTATGAAATTGGTAAGTGAATGTTTTTATTTTATTACTGTTTTATAAAATAAGGAAGTGGGAAATTTTCCTCTTAAGAGAAAAGAAGAATAAAACAAAGTCTGTAGCTGTCACAGTATCCTGCACTGTAGGACAGACTTCACTCCTGATAGCTGACAGAAAATAGTTCCAAAAATTAACGAAAACAAGCAAAGGCAGAAGCAGCCTGAAATAACATTTCAAAGAAGTGGTGTGGACATATCCATGGGATCCAAGTGATGAAAAGCAAAAGTCGCTTTTCTGATGGGTTCATTTCTCCATCCCATAATCCCACACTTCTCTGAAAGCCGCAAAAGCTACATATCCTAAAATCATAGAGAAGGTTCAACTTACAACTTGATTTAAATATGTGGGTACCTTTGTGTGAGCCAAGTGTTTAATCTCTCATCTAGATCTGGGACAGGACTCAGTTGCCTAAAAACATGGCACAGGACCTGTGAAAGACCAGGGTACCCCTAAGTGGTCTGAAATGCAGGGTGTGAGACTGACTCCAGCCTGCAGCTGATGCAGGCTGTAAAGTCCAGAGCTCTGCAGCCAAGCACGCCTGCTCTTTTGTACCCAAAACGGCTTTGCAGACATCATGGGCATTATTGATAAAGTCTCTGCTGACTGTAGTGGTTAGACACTTAGGTCACACCTAGTCAACTATATTGTTGGCACTCAAATGCAGACGACTTAATCTTCTATCTGTGTATTACCACATGCACAAAACCTTCTTTTTTTCCTGTGGAGATTCGCATTGGTAATGTGAAATTTAAATGTAGCGGAAAAGGGCACTCTGCTGGTTGTACTACTGAATTACACAAAATCCTTCGTGCTTTTCTTCAGTTACTTCAGATGTCCAGCAACTGAAATTATATTTTCCTAAGTTTTGCTACTGTATTTTACTCCTGTTTAACAGATAACATTTGTTAACACCAGTAGCACACAGTTTTACATCAGTTACCTCAACTTCACTTGTATTTTGCTATGAATACATGAGTGCTAGCTGATTACTGACCATGTCTACATTAATGCTTTCATTTCTTTCCAGAAATACTCACTTGGCCATTAAATGTCACTGTCAATTGTAATACAGATTCAGTGGGTTGCATAATTACATGGCAACCACCCCTTACAAGTCATGTGGAAAAAGTCAAGTGCTTTCAGTATGAAATTAAAATACAAAATAAGGTAAAAACAATTTCTTGGTCTATATTTGGCACGTGCATATCTGTAGTGTGCAAATTTCTGTTTCCTTTATTTATTAACTTCTTTCTCACAAAAGAGAAACTTCTTCCTCCTGTTCCAGCTTTGTTGGTCTCACATCCCACCGCTTATGACCTTATTTCAAACTAATGAGAGGTGCAACGCAGAGGAGAACAGGGAAATGTTATGAAGGGTTCCTGTCCAGACTGGGAGAGCACTTCAGATGCTTTCCTGCATGAGCATGTCTCACAGGAGATGACCGTGTGATGGCAGCCTGCTGTCTCCAATGAGGGTGCTGCTTTGGTGGCAGCCTCCAGCCCAGGCCCCAGGTCATGGTTGCATTGCTTCCTAGGGCACCCTGGCATCAGCCACCCTGATGGCATTTTGCAGATGCTGGAAAGCTCAGCTGCTCCTCAATTTCAACACGTGGGACTGTATTGCTTCCCCACCCCTAAGCCTCCATACCTCTCCTCACATGTGGGTGTGAAATTCAACTTACAGACTGAGACACCTTAATGTAGGAGTCTGCAAAGGAACACAGATCTCCCATAAGAGTCAATGCACATCTAGGGCCCCATGTAGCTAAGCAGTAGGTGCCTCATGCGCCTTACGGTGCTATAGGTACTGGAGGCACCAGAGATACCTGCATAGAGATGGCAGATATAACTCACACCTTTCAGACGGGCCATCAGAGGTAAGGCAGGATACCCCAGAGCAGCTAAAATGGCACTGTATACCTAAAGTTTAAGCAGCTCATTTGCACCCTCCACAGCCTGTGCATTCACAGCACAGGCTGATGACTTCCATCATGTCCTCAGTTGAAAGAGCTCAGCTGACAATGAATAATGGGAAATGTTACTCTATTTTATAATGCAACACACATGGTGGGTGTATTTTCTGAAATGAAACATTCCTTCCAATAACATCACAGAATCACAGAATCACAGAATGT